TTCTAAAGTATGAGCCAAAATTAATTCACATGACATCTGTCATTGCGATTTGCTTTCTCGGCATTTGTTTGACTTCAGACATTTTTCTGTGAATTTTTTTAAGTGTGAAATGTTTCAAACACCTGACACCTGACCTCAAGCTCATTACTCTTCTCCATTTCCCTTTTAATGACCTATTAACAAACGATTCATCGTTGAGTTCAATTTGAACTTTGTCCCATCCCCACTAGTGAAAAATGGGAATATGTGATTAAAAAAAATAATAATAATTTTTTTTTCTATATATTTTTTTTTTGTACAGAAAGTTGGAAAGATTTTTTTCTTCCCCCTCCCCCTCAGGGTATCTGAAAATGTGGCTCAGTTACCATTGCTCTGAAGCCTGTATGTGTTGACAAAGTGCTCTGCAATCCTCCAAATAGATGAGGGGTCCTTTTTTTTTTTTTTTTTTTTTTTTAGTGAAGCCCATTTTGCTGCTTTGACGATCGCTTTATAGTTATTTTTGTGTGATTGCTGCGCATGTTTGTTTGCAGTGATGACGAGCACATGTTGATCCAACACTACTGCCAGTCTCTGAACCAAGGCTCTCCCCTCAGCCAACCCCGCAGCCCGGCCCAGATTCTCATCTCCATGGAAACAGAGGAGAAGGGAGAGTTGGAGCGGGTCCTCAATGACCTGGAGCAGGAAAACAGGTCAGCGCCACTCGCCTTTTGACCACGTCCACTTTTCCAAAAGCCTGCGGCGAACCGCTGCCAAATACCTCCCGTATCTTGGAATCGGGCCTTGTCGTCTCTCTGTCCAGCTCCGTTGGACCGAGTGATCGCAATCCTAGATGACGAATGTTGTTATCGTTTCTGCCCGGGTCGCAGGAAGCTGCAAGCCGAATATGACCGTCTGAAGAAGGCGCACGACAGGAAGGGTCTCTCGCCGCTGCCGTCGCCTCCGGAAATGCTGCCAGTGTCGCCGCAGCGCGCGCGCGACGCCGAGCTCATTGCCGAGGCCAAGCTGCTGCGGCAGCACAAGGGGCGCCTGGAAGCCCGGATGCAGATCCTCGAGGACCACAACAAACAGCTGGAGTCTCAACTGCATCGACTGAGGCAGCTCCTGGAGCAGGTTCCTCACGCTCACGTCTCCCGCGGTCCTTTGACGTGCGGTCTCCGTGCTCGACTTCAAGGGGAAGTCACCCCCCACAAATTTTCTTTGCAAGATTATGTTCGATGCACCGTCGCTCGTCGAAACACTGTATTCTGATTCATATTGCGCTTGTGGAATATG